ATCCGGTGGTTTGGCAGGCTGGATTCGGCCCACAGACCATATTTTGCCCAGGCCCGACATAGAGGCTATCAACCTTTCCAGGCTAATGTACCCCCTTTCAGGAGTCTGATTTGTCTTGTTGCCCCAAGTTTCAATTCATTTAAACTACTTGCTTACAAATTCAGACATAAAAATGCAAAAGAGCTATTGCATAGTGGTACTTAACAATTGTTCACTTTCTCATTTTGGCCATGTAATTATGAAATAAATCAATTGGAATTTAAATACTGCACTTACATTTCTGTGGATAGTATACAGAGCAGGTTAAAGAAGTCATTGTATAAAATTTTCATTTGTCCTGACTTTTAGTGCTTTTTATGTAGTCAGCTTCAAACTAAGCAAATATCTGTATGAGTTGAGATATTCCCTGGAAGACCTCTGTGGACTCTCAAGGGTACATGTATCCTTGGGTGTGTCTAGACTACAGGGTTTTGTCGACAAAAGTGGACTTTTGTTGACAAAACTATACCTGCGTCTACACTGCCGCTGAATTCTGTCGACGTAACATTGACAGAACTCGGCAGTTTTGTTGATAGCTGTAAACCTCATTCTATGAGGAATAACGCCTTCTGTCGACAGAGTTCTGTCGACAGAAGGCGTTATTGCATCATGTCAACAAAGCGGCTTGCTTTGTCGACAGAGCTGGCTGTAGTCTAGAGGCTCTTTGTTGACAGACGCTTTGTCGACAGTATCTGTTGACAAAACTTGTGTCAACAAAAGCCTGTAGTCTAGACATACCCTCTGTGAGGTACATTGTCTTTTCTGTCCACTTCCCAAAGTCAGAAGGGACATGCGTGGCAACTTTGAATACATCTTATGTAAATTATGAAACTAGCCTTTTATTTTTTATGCAGATTGAAGGATCAGAATTTAATTAAAGAGAATGAGCCCAAGGATATTCTGGAGAGCAGCAGTGACAGTGAGGAGAAGATTCCAGCTACTAAACCACTGGCACTGCCTAAGCGTAAATTAGAACTCGAGGGAGAAACAGTAGAAAAGAAGAAGAAAGGCAGACCTCGAAAGGACTCCAGGCTAGTCCCTGTGACTTTAACTGTTCAGGTAACCAGTATGTCAGTAATTTAATGTGTATAATATTAACATTTTTTATTTCTACTATTCATTTATTTAAAGCAAAATGTTCTCCTTGCATTAGATTAGACAGAAGGTGGTCAAGTGAAACCAGGAGTGCTAAGGTTCCTCAAAATTTTGAAGTTAGTCCTCTTGCTTGATTTTTACCTTTTTACCTGTTCTTAAGATTTTTAAAATAAAGGTGCCCATAATGTAACACATCTGTGTGCTGTGCACATACAAATATCACAGTCACTAACTAAACAGTATGTATGTAGTATTGGAGTTAAATGCGGGACCTTGGTTTCAAACACCACAGATGTCTGCTGCTTGAACTAAATGAGAAACTCCTTCAGCTCTCAGCAGTGAGATTCAAGAAGGTAACATAATTATAAGCACTTCAGCAGGTATGACCTTCCATTCAGTAGAGCTACATACCTAGCTAGTACATTATGGGAATACTTCCCATCCTTTTTCATTACCAACATTCAAAGGCTGGTCTTGGCCTGAAATATGCTGGCGCTTCCATTAAGTGTATATGGAAAGTGGTAAAGATGATATAATGCCGAGTGTAATGACCACATATTGTTCCTCACAATTCTGAGCAGCTAGGATAAAGAGGATATTTACTCAATGGCTGCGTCTAGACTGGCCAGTTTTTCCGCAAAAGCGCCTTGCCAGCTGTCTACACTGGCTGCTTGATTTTCCGCAAAAGCACTGACAATCTACTGCGTGAAATCAGCCACTTTTCCAGAAGAGCTTTGCCGCTCCCGTTCGGGCAAAAGTCCTTTTTGCGAAAAACTGTTGCGCAAAAGGGCCAGTGTAGACAGCTAGCTAACATTTTTTTGTGCAAAAGCAGGGTAAATGGAAAAAAGCGGTTTGGATGCTGGGGGACCCTGTAGCTGCCCCGGACTTCCTGGTAACCCAAGCTCTTAAAGCAGACACAGGCTGCTGAGCGCACGTGGCAGGAGCGTGCCTCAGACCTCTGGCCTGAGGTCTGCCACAGTGCCCCCCCAGCCACATCACAGTCAGCATGGCAGCTCCGGGCGCTCAGCCACCTGCACCCCCAGCGCAGGAGTTCCCCAGGGCTGGAAAAGAAGGGCCCCGTCGTGGTTCTCCAGGGAGCTGGAGACCCTCCTGGACTTGTGGCAGGAGGAGGAGGGCCTCCACGACACCTGGTCCCAGCGCTGCAACGCCGACATCTTTGACCGCATGGTTCAGGCACTAGCCCAGCAGGGACATCCAGCCCGGAACCTGGAACAGGTCCGGACTAAAGTCAAAGAGCTGCGCCTGGGCTATGTGCGGGCTAGTGAGGGCTGGGGGGCAGGACCAGACACCTGCCCCCCCTC